TCCTTTTTCTGTGTGTTGAAGGGCTTTAGTCAGGAAATGTGGTGGGGTCTTTTCACCTTGAGAGCTGAGATTTGTGGCTCTCAGTGTAGTGTTGGATGCACATGTGCGAGCACAGAACAATGCACCTTCCCTGCAGAGCTATTTTTAGGGTCTTGGTTGCAAGACAATTACAGTGTTGTGCTGATGAGTGTTAGTAATGGTTGCAATATAATTGTGGAGAGAAAAATGTACAGCTTTGGGGGAGGCATCGTGTCCTTTTTGTGTGCACAGAGTCTCACAGACAAGTAAAGAAAGAGGAAATAAATTTGTCATCATCTAAAACATGTAACTTCACTGTAGAAGAGACAGAGTTTGGTTTCATTTACAGCACTGCAGATCCCTCCAGTTCACAGAATTCATTTCAGATTTGCTTGTGTCTGATTTAATCAAAACGGGGTCCATTCAACGCAAGAAAAAATCCAAAGCGAAGTTAATATGGAGAATTATCTGCTTACTTACAACTCCCAGTGTTAGCCCCAGCCAGCCCCCCTGTGCCACCACAGTGAATTCAGATAAATTTGCCCTGGATGAGAAAATAAAGGATGAGTCTGTTAATCAAGATTGCAATATCTGTAGGAAAACAGAAAGTAGCTGAGAGGTTCTGAGTGCTCATCAGGGACAGACAGCGTTGCCTGTAGGGGCAAATTTGCAAGTCAGTGAGAGGAAATTTAATCTTTTCAAAGATCAGATCTATAAAAAACCCTCTTTCTTCTTGGATTCTGTATTAGAGCTTAAAGAAATCCTCCTTTCTCTGCAGCATATGGCAGAAGTATGTAGCACACAGAAACAGGAGTGAGGCTTCAGTTGAAACTCTCAGTGTTTTACATGTTCACTGAGAACTCCAAAATTAAAAATAAACTGCAGAAAATCTGCAAAATAATCTGAAAAAAAATCTTTAAAATTTAAAATAATTCGAATTTTGAATCTGATCAGTTAAAAGGGCATTGATTTGAGGGGTTGTTCAAAAGTATTTTTTTATTTGACATATTAAAATTTGACATCTGAAAACAGGAAGGCAAAATGAAAGTGACAAACTCAGTTCAAGAAAATAGGAACAAATAATGCTCAGTAGGAAGTGTTAGTAAATAGAAATTAACTTTACTGGTTGAGGAAGCCTTTTAAGACAGTTTTGGTTTTATTTTTTTTCTGAGGTAGGATCTTTGTATGATCTAAAGTGATCTACTAATGAAGGGCTGCTGCTTACAAATGGAAGGAATTGTTCTATTTTTAGCATTTTTAAGGGTCTCCAGAAGAGGATTCATCTGGATGACTTGATCTTCCAGGGATTCCTGCAAAAGCCAGCAGGATGCTGAATGCAGAAGCCTGGGGCTTTGAGCACAATGACCCCTCACCATCCCAGGCAACACGGGGAATACATTTTCTGTCAGTCAGCTCCCACGAAAAGCTGAATTACCGCTGTGAGCAGGAATTCCATTCAGGCTCAGCCCTGCCAGAGGTTCTCCACAGGGGTCCAGCCCTGTGGATTTGGGGCAGGCGGGAGTCTGGCTAATCCCAGCTCCAAGAAGGAACCCCAAATGCTCAGTGTGCTGCAGGGTTTGGTACCTCAGTGTTCTGGGGAAGAGGGTTTGGGGTATTCCAGGACTGAGACACCCACAGGGAATGGTCGGGCGAGGCTGGGATCTGCAGGCAGAAAGCTGGGAAAGAGGAATGAGGTTTGATGCTTGGAGTAGGAGGAAGGTTATTCCAAGGATAGAGGGCAGCATAAGACAGGCTAGGAATGTGTGTGGGATAGGGAGAGCCTGGGGGGAGAAGTTGTGGAGGAGGAAACAGGCGTGCAGGGACAAGCTGGGACTTGACAATCCAGAGGTCTGGCGGTGAGGAAGCTGCAAGGAGGAATAGGAAACCACCGAAGGAATCCCACAAGGCTTGAATAACAGGATTTCTGCTGCATGGCCAAATGTAGCTGCTGTTCATGTCTTTAAATGCAGAATTGTTTTACTGACCCCCACAGTGGAGTCTGAGGGGAGATGAAAAAGAAAAAAAGAACAAAGAAAGAGGAGAGGAGAGGAGAGGAGAGGAGAGGAGCTGCCATCAGTATGGTGGAATTCTTTCTACTTGATGCCAAACTACTTTCCTCATTGCTATCATGACAAAAAAGACTGGCTCTCCCACCCTGATTATCGATGCTTGTTCCCCTTCATTATTTGAATAACCTGCTCTTGACAATATTTTACCCAGATAAAACACTTTTTACTATGCTTTGGTTGTGCAGGTGGCAGGAAATAAAGTGCTGGGAAATCCCACCTGGCTGAGGATCCCTGAGGCTGCTCTACAGCATTGTTCTCTCAGGAATCTCCATGCTCTCTGCAAACACTATGATTATTCCTCCCACTGCTATTTATTCCCATTTCCAGACTACCTGGGAGCCCCCAGAGCTCTGTGTGAGTGTGGATTCATTGCAGCCACAGACCAAGATTCCCCCCTGTTTTATGAATGGGCTAAAAGAAGTGCAGGGAATTCATTTGTAGAGAAGGAAAAGCAACACAGAGAACTCAAACATTCTGGTGTTTTGCCATTTGCTTCTAACAAGGAAACCCCTTCTCTTCACCCAGAAGGAAAAATCAGTCCCAGGGCTTGTTCATGGCCTCAGGTTTCTCTTTCTCAGGTAGATCCAGGAGCTGCATGGGGTCAGTGTCATCCACGCTCCCCTCATAACCATCAGTCATTTTGGCGTCTCTTTAGGGTAGAAGGTAAAACTAGAAGGAAAAGAGAAGGAGAGCACTATTTCCCACATTGTTGAGAAGCAGATTGAAGAAACCTGAAATTTCCTGTGGTGGTGTCGTCTTCACACCAGTGATACCTTCCAGTTCAACAGGAACCTGCAGCAGAAGGAAGATCCTGAATATGGGCACTAGCTCCTAAAAGGGGTCTGGGAATAAACAGGGAGAATATTCCCACTTTCTCTTTGGCCTTCCTCCCTAGGGCCAGGCCACTGCCTATGACTGAGAACAGGGGGCTTTTCTTCCATCTTTTTTTTCGTGAAAACTGTTAGACCAGTTCTGAAGAGGGCAGTTTTTGGATGGGGTTTCAGAAGAAACTGAAAGGGAGGACCTGGTTCATCAGCTCCTGCCCTCAGCCATCAAAAACTACCAGGAGAATCCACAGCACATCCATTTCCCATGGCCCGTGGTGGCTTTCACTCTTGTCACAACCTGATTTGTGGCAAAGCCGTTCCAGAGGAGGGAGCAGGGGAGTTCAAGGGCGTGACTCGTGTCCCAAGGCTTTGCATTTTTTGGGACCTGTTCGGTGCTGGGAGCAGACCGTGTCCCACACTCCAGGCAGTTTTCCTTCCCCCACCCACACATCCTGCACCAGCTTTAAAGCTGCCAAGGCAACAGCTGATGGTGAGCGCTGTGTCCGTGTCCAGCACCCAAAGATGTGCCCCTGGGGACCAGCCCTACCTGCTCAGCTCGCTGCTCCCTGCAGAGGCAAAGCTGATTTCATCATTCCTGTGATTAAAGGGAGCAGAGCTGTGGCTTTCTTTGGCAGCAAGGACACACTGCCCAGGCCGAGGGCTGCTCTCCGTCCCACCTCTGCAGCCCCAAGCAATGCTGGGCGCCAGCCTGGTGGCTCAGCAGGCTCAGGAGTCAGGATGGGCACAGTGGGAGAAGCCCCTGGGCTGGGGAGGGGACTTCTGGCCACCAGGGTCTGGGTTTAGAGGCCACTGCTTGGGCTGCAGTCAGGACAGCTTGGCACTGGTCGGAGGCAGCGATGGCCCTGGCTGTCCTGGTGATCTCATTTCCCCAACATCCTCCTAAAAACCTTGATGGGCTAAAAATAAGTGTGCAAGGACTCCAAGGCAGCAGGGCTTGGAAACCAGTTTCCTGGCTCCAAAAGATCCTGGTGTGACACCTTCAGCTGCAATCTGCTGCTCTGGGGTGAATTTCAGCCACCAAGCAGGAAGGAGAAATTTCCTCCATCCATTTCCGCTTTGATCGGGCAGAGATAAGGAATGTGACAGCTCAGCAATCGTCTCCCCTCTCAATCTACACAGCTAAATCTGTAGGCTGGCTGGGCTGAGATGCCTGGATTTGCAATGTATATTTGAGCCCTGGCTCAGGTCTGCACTTAATCCCTCACCTCCCTGAAACACGGGGACTAATGTGGTCCCTGGAACAGGTCAGTGAAATGTTAAACCAAACACCCACAGAAAATAATGACACAAAATACCCCATACTTGCATCAAACAGAGATTCTTTGGTGCAGGACTCAGACTCATCTGGAACTTTTAATTCTTTATATCTCATCATCCCTTCACAGCTGGGGAAACTGAGGCAGGACATGACAACTTACACCTTCAGAGCTGTCCATACAGTGTCAGACCATTTTTTGGCAGACAATCTACCTACAAAAAATGTTGTTCAGACCTTTCAGTCTGAAGCCAGAAGGAGTGACCTTTTTAAAAGCTTAGGTGTAAATGTAGACCCAAAAGTCAAGGAAGGGGTGAGGCCATGCCAACAGATGGTGGTGAGTTAAAACTCTCAGATTTCATTTCCTCAAGATCACACAGAATTTAATAAACTTATGGTTAAAATACTTGTGAATTCAAGTCTACCTGATATAAAACAGTGAATATAAATCCAGATGGTCTCCACACACACCTGCAGGCACCATCCTTTTCTCTCTCTGCCTCCCACTGCTGCCACATGGCCCTTCCTGCTCTCCATCCCACACCTCTTCCCAGCCACCACACACAGCAGGCACCTACCAGGTTAAACCCAAGGTCCTGGAAGGTGTGTGTTTGCAAGGGCTGGCCAGGCTCTTTCAGAGCTGTCCGAAGGGTCTGAATCAGCAATTACGTTTTTAAAGAGACAACACATTCCTTATCTGTAAATCCAGGGGGTGGTAATGCTGGGAGCCTGATTGGGAAGCTTTAATCCCTCAGCAGACATCAAAAAATGCTTTGTTTTGTGGCAATTTCTTCTTGTCTTGCCTTGTAGGGTGTTCTATAAACTCGGCTGCTGAGGGGTAGGGGACAAGAGGCTGAAACAGAAAGACCATCTAAAGAAACTTCCCTGCGAAGTCACATCCTTTGCTGTATTTTCTTGCCAAGGTGGAACAGCAGATTTCATCAGACCTGATCTCTGGCAGACAAACCTCAGGCTGAACCCTTGGCAGGAACAGCCATGCTGGTGATGGAACTGAAGTTTCATTTTAAAATCATTTCTGTGCCCCATGTTTATGATGAATAAACCCTGTGTGTTTGCTGCAAGCAGAGAGGATAAAGCTGTTGTTGTGTTACCATCCTGCATGTTTCAGTCACTCAGTGGGCATGAACTGCCCTGAAAGACATGAAAGACAACAGCTCCTGTATCAGCCCTAAGTATTTCTCTGCTATATTTGCCTCAGCTGGAGCGTTTGGGATGTGGTTACCCTGCCAGGATTGCCATTGTGGGTGTTGTGGGTGAACACGCTTGGGATTGAGTTTCCAAGAAGGAAGATTCAGATAAACAACTGCTTTGAGGTGAAAATTAGAGAGTTCATGTTACACCCACCTCTTGAATTTGTAACTGACTATTCACCCTGAAAATCTGATTCTAGGAACTCAGCATGTCCCGTCAGGAGCAGAATAATACCACAGAAACCATGGCCAGCCAGAGTCCTGAATGCTGAGAACTGTGATTAACTCCTCAGGAATCTCTCTGGAGCAAGTCATATATTCTGGGCTTTTTTAGGTAATTATTTCAAACCTTGAATCTGTGAATGGAGATTGTAAACAGTTCTCAGCCCAACATATTAGAGAAGGACGTGAAAAGCATCAAATAAATAACGGGTTCTGACCTGTTTGCTCATGTGTAAAGGGAAAAAAATAAATGTTTTAACCACACAGGAGGAGAGAGCTGCAAAGACAGCAATTGGATCTCTCCATGCAGTGATCCAAGGCAGAATGGTAAACCTGAAATAGCTGCTGGCCCACTCAGCTCACAGACACACCAGCAAGGACCAGCACTCAGCCAAACTGGTTTCTGCTTCCAGGGGTGCCTCTTGCTGAGTTTAATGATGTGCTGTAGCTGTGTCCATAGCCCAGACCCTGTCCTGTATTTCACTGGCCATGCTCTGCTCCAGCACATCACCAACTCAAAACCTGCTGGGACAGCCTGGGCTGGGCTGCAGCTGCTTCACCCAGCCATGTCCCCTTATGATTACATTATCTGGGAAGGGGGTTTGGAAGGTTCCCTCAGAGAATAGAGGAGAGATTGTGGAGTGACGTGTCCCGATAGCAGTGCACAGCAATCCCTGCAGACCACGGATTGTGGAGGGAGTTGTCTGCTAAGCAGGATGTTTGCCTTTGGTGTGGGCTCAGTTTCTTGCCCTGACACAGATTCCTTCATCATGTTAAAGTGAGACTGAGAGTCCAGCCCTCTTGCTTGAAGGGATGTGGAGCATAATTCTGTTTCAGGTTGGAAAATGGCCTTCAGATAAGGGCAGGTTAGCCCATGTAGAAGCTCAGAATGGTTTGGGTTGGAAGGACCTTAAAGCTCATCCGGTTCTACCCCCTGCCATGGCAGGGACATCTTCCACCTATCCCAGGTTGCTCCAAGCCCCATCCAAGCTGGCCTTGGACACTTTCAGGGATGGAGCAGCCACAGCTTCTCTGGGCACCTGTGCCAGGGCCTCCCCACCCTCACAGGGAAGATTCCTGCATATATCTTACCTGCATCCCACCTATCCAATACAGACCACACATAAGAAAGGCTCTTGTCTCTTCCCCAGTGCTGCCAGGGATCCCAGGCTAAACACAGCAGCCCAGGTGTCCATAGTGACATTCCCAGTTAAAAAGGAGGAAGGTATAACTGGAGGAGGACAAGGTGAGGAACAGAGAGTACAAAACCATTTATGACTGCTTGTTATAGAGCCTCAGCCTTTGTGCTGCTGTGACAAGCCTTGGAATAACAAGGAACTCAGCTTGGATGCTGCACTTTGAGGTTTCATTTCAGCAGCAGAAGCAAACAGATCTCTGGTGGTTCAGGGAGGAATGGAATCTGGATCGGAAAGCCCTGCTGAAGGATCACAGGGTTATATAAAGATCTGCCTCAGGAGACTGCAAGATGGTTTTGCATTTATTAGTAATTTATAAAACAATGAAAGCTGCAACCTCATTCTCAGCTGTTGTCTGTGCTTGCTTGGGGAGGATCAGTGTATTCCTGTGAGGGCTGCAGGGATGTTGTCTCTACGGAGACACAACCAGGCTCTAACCAAACAAGGGCAGATCGCTGCTCCTGGGGCACAGAGGGTCTGATGGGGACAGTGCCAAGGCCTTTCAAATCCCACCAGGTGCTCAGTGAGTCACAGATCCTGCAGGAGACATTCTGTGCACTGTGATCAAAAGCTTCAGGGAAGGGTACACACAGGGAAGCAAAGCTCAAGTCTGTCTTCCTGGTATCCAACTTTTGAGTGTTGCATTTTCAATTGTAGCACTCAGTGCAAGGAATTATGGAATCAGAGAATCATGGAATGGTTTGGCTGGGAGCACACCTAAAGCTCAACTCTTTCCACCCCCTGCCATGGGCAGGGACACCTTCCACTATCCCAGGTTGCTCCAAACCCCGTCCAATCCAGCCTTGAACATCTCTAGGGATGGGGCAGCCCCAGCTTCTCTGGACAACCTGTGCCAGAGCCTCCCTGCCCTCACAGGGAAAAATTCCTTCCTAATATCCCAGGTAACCCTGCCCTCTGACAGTGGGAAGCCATTCCCCCTTGTTCTGTCCCTCTATCCTGTGTCCCAAGTCCCTCTCCAGCTCTCTTGGAACCCTTTTAGGCACAGGAAGGGGCTCTAGGGTCTCTCTGGAGTCTTCTCCTTTCCAGGTCAGTACCCCCAGCTTTCCCAGCCCAGCTTCAGAGCAGCCCTTGGAGCATCTCTGAGGCATCCTCTGGGCTCACTCCAGCAGCTCCTCATCCTTGTGATGATGGACACCCCAGGGCTGGAAGTGCTGTCCCAAGTGGGGTCTCAGAAAGTGAAGCTGAGGTGCAGAATCCCCCTCTCTGCTGCCCACGCTCTGGGATCAGCCCAGGACACAGGTGGGTTGTGCAGAATTTGGCTTACATTTTTACATACAATTTATTACACTGTCACATTTCCAGGACAGGCCTTGGAGCAGTGGAGTGCCAGGAAGGAGGTGGCACAAAGAGATGGAATAACTGGGGGGCTCCCCAAAAGCTCATTCCCAAATTAGTGCTTGTGAGATGTGAAGCAGATGCAACAGAGAAGAACATCACCTCTGGGCTTAGCAAAAATTATCTGCAGCTCTTGGATCAGGTGAAATATGCATGTCCAATCCTCTTTTTAGCATTTCCTAAGCAAGGCTTTCAAAGGAAGGCCCCTAAATACACATTTTAAACAAAGACACTAATTTCTGTTGAAATGCTATCCTCAGCTGGGATAATTGGAGGTGCTGGAGCAAGGTGAGCAGCGTCTGGCAGCAGGAAAGCTCATCTCCTCCTCTAATTAAGCTGCATATGGACTCCCTGACAGCAAAGAGGCATCCAGAAGCTCAAGACCCCATGATTTATATGGATTTCCTGGTGTTTTCATGGAGTTTCTCTTCCCTGCATGATTTACAAGGCACTCCACTCCTTTAGAGAGCACCTTAGCCTTTCTCCTGGTAGGTGCTGTGGAGCAAGACCATGCATGATTTATACAAAATTATGTGGGTTTTTGATTAATTCCAAAGTTTCTTCATCACTCCATTGTGCCTTATCCCCAAATGCACTATAGATTTCTCAGTTTCAGTTCCTTGAGTTACAGAGTCAGGCACTAAAGTAATAATTATTGCTGGGCCCTGCTAAGGAAAATAAAAAAATAAAATAAATTTGGCCATAGGTGATTATAGTTTCTGCAGCTGAATCAGTGTCCCATAAATGACAGAGGATAATGGATTTAATAAATAACTCTGATTAAGTATGATGTTATTTTTAAATAATTTCAAAAACTGTTACTCTAATCCCTCCGTGGCTGAAAGAAAGGAGGATGCTCAGAAGTTAAAATTAGTTCCTGAACGTTCAGCCTGGTGTGGAGTTACAGGCGTTCCAGGGCTGTCCTGGTTTTCTGGGGCATTCGCTTACAGTGGAGCTGAATGGACACAAACAGCTGCCTTTGGAAGGTGGGAATGAGGTCCCACAACTCACACAGCCCTGCTGCTGCTATCATTCCCAATGCTCTGATAGCTCAGCAGCAGCTCCCAGCCCAGCTGATGGGATAATCACTTGGTGTTTCCACAAGCTGCCTTCCTGCACACAAATCCCCTTTCCCTTGATTCCCAGGGAATTCCCAACTCTCTCAGGCCTCTTTATCAATAAATATAGTTATCTTCTGTATAATGTCAATATGATTCCTTTTCTTTTTGTTCAGAGTGATCCCATTTCTTGGCTGGACAAAGGACCTGAAGAACACTTTGCCTTGAAAAGCACCACAGAATTCCAAAGCCACAGCAGGAGCTGTTTCTGCTGAAATGATGGAAAACCATACTTCTTTCCTCCTCCTCTTTTTCTTCCTCCTTATTTTCTCTCCCATGGAGATGGGCTGACAGAGCTGTTCAGCCTGGAGAAGAAAAGACTCCAGGGAGACCTGACAGACCCTTCCAGAGTCTCCTTCCAGTGGGTTCCAAGAGAGCTGGAGAGGGACTTGGGACAAGAGATGGAGGGACAGGACAAGGGGGAATGTCTTTCCACTGCCAGAGGGAAAGGTTAGATCGGATATTGGGAAGGAATTTTTCCCTGTGAGGGTGGGCAGGCCCTGGCACAGGTTGCCCAGAGAAGCTGTGGCTGCCCCTGGATCCCTGGAAGTGTCCAAGGCCAGGTTAGATGGGGCTTGGAGCAACCTGGGATGGTGGAAGGTGCCTCTGCCCGTGGCAGGGGGTTGGAATTAAATGAGCTTTAGGGTCCTTCCAACCCAAACAATTTCATGATTCTCTGAACTGACACATCCCCATGGCTCCCTGGCTGCAGAGGAACAGGGGCAGAAAAGCAGGACCACATTTTTGAGGCTGCTCCACTAAATTAAAGGAAACCACAAACTGAACCTTCAGCCTCAGAAAATCCAGCTGCAGTGCTCGGCTTTGCCTCTGGCTCAGCAGCAAGGCAGAGATAACAATAAATCCCTTCTCCCACCTTCTGCATGTCCTGATTAGACAGACTGTAGCAGATGGGGGCTGTCATTATTCCGTGCCTGTTCCGTGCCTGGCACAAAGCGGCTCCGATCCCGGCTCCCGCCCGTGGTGGCTGCACCAACAATAGCTCTGACAAGAAGCTGCTGGCTGCTGCTGGGGAGGTCACAAGCTGCCCAACCTCTGCCACCCCAGGAGGACCAGTGCAGCCTGTGGAGAAAACACTGCCTCCCTCGTGGATTGTGTGCCATGGGGATGGATCCCAACTAAAAAAAGGGGAATTTCCAGGCTCCTTCCCTGCCACACTTAGGAATGCCCCACATCCATGAAGGCATGAAACTGTGTCAGAGAGGTTTAGGCTGGATATCAGGAAAAGGTTCTTCCCTCAGAGGGTAGCTGGGCACTGTCCAGGCTCCCCAGGGAATGATCACAGCCCCAAGGCTGCCAGAGTTCCAGGAGTGTTTGGACAATGCTCCCAGGCACAGGGTGGGATTGTTGCGATGTCCTGGGCAAGGCCAGGAGTTGGACTGATGATCCTTGTGGGTCCCTTCCAGTTCAGGACACACCATGATTCTACAATCCACCAGCAGTTACATCATCGGCTGTTTCATGAACCTACATGGATATTTCCATAGTGTTAGTGTAACTAATGAGTAAAATTAATTTGTTGATGTTCATTTAATGAAACTACACTGCTGCTGACAGAGAGGACACTGTGTGAGAGCAGCCATTCAGGGGCTGGCAGGGACCTCTCCCTGTGCTCCCCATCCACCAGCTGAGGCTCTCCTCTCACAGAGGGGTTGCTCCAACCAGCTGCTGTGCCTGTGCAGCACCCCAGGATGGATCCCGTGGTGTTCCTGCCTCGTCTCTCCCTGCCACAGAGATGCCACTTACTGTGAGGGTAAATCCATGCAGGAAACATGAAAAACACAGGAGAAGAAATCAGGGCTTTTCTCTCAGGGCTTAAAATGAGTGTTTTCAAATCTACCCCAGGGAGAGCCTCACTGAGGTGCAATGGTAGGGTGAAGGGTGGCAGAGTGGGGGAGAACAGCCTCAAAGAAACCCCTACACTGGAACCACAGCTTCTCATACCTGTCACAATGTGGATTTTCAGCTTGAGCACACAAGGCTGAGCTCAGGGGACACTGTCATGTAGATTTAGGGTTTTATCTCCTTTCCTCTCCATTAGCTGTGATACCTTCTTATTATGCTGAAACCTGAAACTTTTCTTTCCTCCAGTGGTTGTTCCCTTCCCCATTTGGCAAATATCGATCTCTCTGTGTCCTCAGCACGGGTTCAAATCCAACCCCCTCATCCTTAGCCTGCTCCTGGGGTTGATTGCGTGGCAGTGCCACCTCTCATGACATCAGGGAACAGAGTGAAGGACAAGGAGAGGGATGTTCATCCATTACATGTGTTTTTCTCTCCCCATCCTCTCTCTCTCTGTGCTGGAAGTGACAGGGAACTGAACAGGATGGGGCTGATTGTGCTTGGCAGGTGGAGAGGGAATGGAAGGAGCAGGGAGAAAAAGAGCAGCCCAGGATAACCATGAATTTATCCTGGCCTTGTTTCACATTCACATCCTGCAGCACCTTGGGCGAGAGCTCTCCAGGCAGGGGACCAAAATCTGGGGGCTGGCCTGTGCAGGAGGCTGCCCCCACTTACCTTGGGGTGTGATTTTAAGCCAATTTAATTAAATTGCTTGGCAAGGCTGCAAGGACTCATCTATTTCAGCTTGAGCCAGGCCTGTTTTGATTTAGTGTTGGCTGATTAGGAATTAGTGGAAACAAACCGCTCAGAAAACAAAATTAGAGGGTGCACGCTAACTTTTGCACCAGATTAAGTTGAATTAAAAAGCAATTGAAATGTAATTTTCCTGTCTCAAGCAGCCAAGAAACAAGATAATGCAACCAGTGGCACTTGAAGCTTAAAATCACAGCAGCCAGGATTAGCACAACTGGCTTTTTAATGCCTACAAACAACAGATTTATCTGAAGGTCTTTTCTCAAACCCCCCCCCCCATCACCTTCCACATAAAGCTGTGTACAACTTATTTTATTTGCCTTGAAATGCAGAATTGGTGTGACCCCAGAACTTGAATCCAGGACTTAGAGCAGCCAGGGTGTGGCACAGCATGTGTCCATAGGTATTTCCATGGTGGGCAATACTAGTTTTTCCCTGAGTTCCTATAATTTGGAGTGGAATGGCTCTGTGTGCACGGCTGGAAGGTGCAGAGGCCCAGGGATGTGGAGGGTGCAGACCCTAGTGGTGGCTGCTGCTCCCATCTGCATCCCAGCAGCTCTGAGTGTCTTTGTTCCCCATCTCCCCTGTAGAAAAAGATGTCAAGTTGTTTAAAATCAGATTTTAATTAAATATTTCAATTGCTCTTTTCCCTACCATTTGAGAAACACCACTCCTCCCTTCCCCATAGGCTGGGCCAGGCTGGCACCTCTGCACACACCGAGAGGGTTTTAAGGGGCTTTGCTAAAAAGGGTGATGGTGTGGAGAGGGTGTCAAGCCAGGATGTCTTCAGCACCTCAGAGTCCCCAGAACTGCCCACAGTGCTGCAGCCAAGCCCTGCTGCAGTGGTTATTTGGGGGTAAGGGAGCTGCTGTCCCTGTTGGCCAGAGCAGCAAGAGCAGGACTGGGGCAAGGGGTCCACGAATGGAAATATCTCTTGACTGGTAGAGGCTGTCATGGGCACAGAGCACAGCAGTTTGTGAGCTGCTCAGCAGCTCCTGGCCAAAATCTAAAGGACTCATGGAGATAATGGGTTCCTGCTGGGTTTTTCTCTTTGCCACCTCCCTCCTGTGCCAGCCAGCAGCTCAGTGCCTGATGATGCTCCAAAGTTGCTTAATCCTGTCTTGGCTCACTTGCAACCTCTGTGTAGCTGATTCTGCCTGTCCTGGCCCCTGCTGACTGGAGGAGATGTTCTCCTGGCCTGCAGCACCATCCACAAGCTACCCAGACAAAAAAAGGGGCACCCCAGGCTGCCTGTGCCCTGCACAGTGATGGGGTGGCAGATTCCAGACTGTCCCCCACAGCCCAGGACACTGTACAGGTAAAGGTTGGCATCACCCTCAAAGGGTCTTGGCCAAAAACAAGGACAAAGCTGGCAAAGCATAAACGTATGGAGGAGGCCTGGGGGTTGAGTGGTGGCCCAGACAGGAAGAAAACCACCTCCATCCATCCTCCTCCAGGTGCACTCAGGTGAGGGAGCAGGTGCTGGTAACGGAGGGGCTGTCCTGGGAAGAGCCAATCATGGAGGGGAACTGGGGGTACGTGGCCCCATGGGGGAAATAAAAGAGGCAGTTGAGGGTAGTGGGGTATGAGGCAGAGTTAGGGTAAGTATTTTTTTCCCCCTTTTGGGGTGCTGGGTGGTTGGTTAGTCTTTTCTGCTGCCCTATGAGGTTTGGGGCTGTGCTGGGCCTGCTGCTTGGGTGGGTTGTGGTGCCCTTCTGCTGGGAAGGGTGGAGAAAGCTCCCCCCAAAAGAAGAGGCTTTCTGGAGCCTTTGGCTCTGCTGGGGGAACAGAGGAGGGGAGGCTGGAGCAGACCTTGAGGTTTGAGTGTTAGGATTAAAGCTATGTTGGACTGAGCCAAAGGGTGGCTCAGCCTGGCCTTGGGGTTCTGGAGGAGTTTTGCAGCTGGCTGCACGGGATAAGAGCTGATGCTGCTGGTGCCTGGCCTTGGTTACTGGGACAGGAAACAGGAAGAGAGAGGATGATAAAAACACCAAAACCTTGAACTTAAAAGGATGGTGTGAGGGAGTCCTTGGAAGCTGCTCTGAGCTGCAGGTGTTGGTGTTAAGCCTGGAGGGAAGGAGAGGAGGCACCATCTGTGTGGGATCAGCCTCTGAGTGTGTTGATGCACAACCTGGGTTTAGGGGTCCTGTGATGGTGTCTGCTTTGAAAACATCTCCCTTAATGCTGGCTGGAAGCCTTGTTTTTCTGACAAAAGCTGTCTGAAGGCCAGGTCTTGGTTAATTTGTGTGTATATCTCTGGCTTCTGCTAGGATGTGCTTAGAAATTACTTTTACCTGTCACTATTTTGTGATGGAAGCCTGTACTAGTTGCTGGGTTTCCAGAACTCTTTTTTTATCAGCTGAACTTGATCACTTTGCGTCCCTGCATGTGACTGTGGGTCTTTCCTAGCTGGAAAGGAAAGGTAAAGGAAGCCAGGTCGGGCTCTGTGGTGGAGTGAGAGAGGCTTGCATGTGTGTCCTTAAATCTGACCTTGAGCTGCTCCTTTTGGAGGCAAGAGGCCTTGCCAGGCTTGGGTTGTGCATCAAAACAAATGGAAAAGCCCCAGGACCAGGGCTGGAGGAAGGGGGTGTTCCTGCCACCGTGGGGTGTCTGTGTCTGGCTTCCTCCTGCAGCAGCAGCTGTAATTTCTGTAGCCTGATATTAAGTGGTAGTTTGTGCTTGTATTTAGTTCAGTGGCTCAGCTGCAGTGTGTGAGGATCCTACCAAGCACTGCTTGGCTCAGAGCATCTCCAGTGTCTCCCCTGCTGGGAGTGTGGGGTGGCAATGTGTGGCCCAGGCTGCTGGTGGGAGTGGAGGGTCCCAGCCCCTGTGGCTGGCAGGGGATGTCACTGGGCAGCTGTGACCTGACCCTGCTCTGTGCTGACCCCCAAGAGCACGTGAGAGTGTCCAGCACCTCTCTGAACTCTGCCAAGATGCCGGGCAGGAAGCACAGCCAGCACATCAAGTTGTTCAAGAACAAGGGGAAGGATGAAACTGTGAGTACCCAGCTGCCTGTGCCAGCATTTTGGACCCCAGCAGAGCTCACTGTTGGCAGGAGCTGATGGAGAGGCTTCTCAAGGTCCATGGTCCCAAATCTACCTGTGTGGGGGAGCAGGGGAATGGCTCTGGATACCTTCAGCTGGGATGTTTGGGTGGCTTTTGGGATGGGGTGTGGGACTGGCTGGGGTGCAAGGAGTGTGGTGGCACAGGCAAGGGGGATGTGAGTTTTGGGTAGGGGGCTGTGGGCTGGGGAAGGGAGATGGCTCAGCCCCAGCCTGCTGAGCTCTCCACAGCAGTTATCCCTGAAGAATTTGGGCTGGTATGGGATGTCAGATGTAGGACCTGTCAGCTTGATTTAAGCTGGTAGAGGAGATGTGGGTTTGCCTTTCAGGTTCAAAAAAAATCTACTTTTAATAACATCCACTGGTTGCTGGTTCATCCAGCAGCCCATGTCCCTGGGAGACACTGAGGGAGAGGCTTCCTCTGTCCCATCCCTAACATCACCCTCCAGGACATAGTGAGGAGCTGCAGGAGTTGTTTCCTCCTGTGGGAAACATGGGGCAGAGGGCTGCAGGGATGAACTCCCTGGGGATTTGGGCAATGCAGATCCAAGTGGGATGGTGTTCTTCTTCCCCCAGACCCTGCGGAGGCAGAGGGTGGAGGTGAGTGTTGAGCTGAGAAAGGCCAAGAAGGATGAGCAGATCCTGAAGCGCAGAAACATTTCCATTCATGTGAAGGAGGAGATTCCCTCTCTGGGACAAGACAGAGGAGATGAGGTGGTGAGTGCTTGGTGCTCTGCACCTGGGCAGGATCAGTGCAGCAGGAACCATCCCCTACTTGGGCCACTACCAACTCCAGCTGGGCTTAACCTGGGTGAAATAGCTGGTGCTGTTCCTGATCTCCATGCCCAGTGCTGGGGAGTGTTCCAGGCTGCCTGGCCTTCCTCTGCAATTTTTCATGGTGATGTCCTGCTGGCCTCCCTTGATGGCAGGTAGAACAGGCTGGTGGCTGGGAGCTGCTCCTGTCTGGCTCCCTGCACAGCCAGGGGTAATTACTGAGCTCTCAGGCCCATTATGGTGTCAGTGACTCTTTCACTGCTTGATTACAAGCATTAGTTGCCTTGAAGGCTTTTGTGGATTCTCTTCCTCTGCCTCATCTCGAAACTGTGTTGCATAAAGAATAGACACTGCTTAGATATGAAGTGGTGACTGAGCTGGGTCTAGACGGCTGATTGAGTGCTGAGATTAAACCAGAGGGAGCCCTGGCTGACTCTGAATCATTCCCTGTGACAGATTATTCAGCCATCCTTGGAGGAGATCGTGGAAGCTGTGAATGGGGATGACACCCAGCTGCAGCTGCTCGCCACCCAGGCCACCAGGTACGTGCCCAGCTGCTGGAGCTGCCCTGGGAGCAAAAGGCTGCAAGTTCCTGTGTCAGGAGCTCTCTAGAGAGATGGCAAAGGGAGAAGGAGCCTGGTAACCCAAACTGCCCCTGGAAATCTCAGCTGGTGCCTGTTCTGTGGCCTGTGTGCTGTGCTTGGCTCACAGTCCTGTGTGAAGCCAACCAAGGGGTTGGCTGTGCTGCCCCTGCCTGTGCTGTGCCAGGGATTATGTTGGATCCCACAAGAAATCGATGCTTGGGCAGGACAAGGACTGGAGAGCCTGGCTCTGTAAAGGGTCAATGCTGAGCAGAGCTGTGCCCACAAGGGTGGGGACTCCAAGTGATGACACAGGGTGCCATCATCACCCAGCTGGCAGCAGGGGTGTTTCCTGAGGGTCCAGGAGAGGCTGCATCCCTGCTGGTGCTTCCTTGGCCGGCTCAAACTATTGTACCAGTGAACTGGGACCAGCATCATTCCCAGTGAGTATGCCTGTGAGGATGTCAGGGCTTTACTTCCAGCAGACACCCTGCTCCAGCACCTTTAGCTGTGTCTTCCCTCTGTACAGAAACCCCTCTGCTGAGGGTTTGTTGTGGTGGGATGCTGAACCATCAAAGCTTCCCCTGCAAGCCACAACCTTGTGCCTGACCACAGGGCTATGGGCTGTGGTGGCACCACGCAGGGTTCCTCATGTCTGGCTGTGCTGTGTCCTCTCTCACAGGAGAATTCTGTCCAGACACAAGGACCCCCCAATCAATCAGATCATCGAGCTGGGGATTATCCCCAGGTTGGTGGAGTTCCTGGGCCGTTCTGACAATGCTGCCCTGCAGTTTGAAGCAGCCTGGGCGCTGACCAACATTGCCTCTGGCACCTCGGAGCACACCAGGATGGTGGTGGAGGGAGGGGCCATCCCAGCCTTCATCTCCCTGCTGTCCTCCCCACACATGCACATCAGTGAGCAGTCGGTGTGGGCCCTGGGCAACATCGCAGGTGAGGGGACCTGGAGGGGCATTTGGAGGTCCCTGGCTGAGCTGGGGACTTTATGATCCTTGTGGGCCCCTTCCAACTTGGAATATTCTGTGATTCTGCTGGGGAGATAAAGCATTGGTGCACTTTTCCCTGCAGCTTTGTCTTCAAGCTGCTGCCCCTATTGAACCCCATAACCCTTCATCCCCTTAGCATTGCCTGGCAGCCTTTGAGATCCTGTGTTAGCTCTGCAAGAGGATTTTGGCCAAAGCCAAGGGCAAGACTCCATCCTGCTGGGATGGTTTAACCCTCTAATGTCTCCACAGGGAGAACAGAATGGGTCATGCCTGGTTGGCCTGCTGGCATTCCAGTCTGCCCAGTAAATCCTTCCCACCTGGAAATGCCTAATGGTGTGTGGCTGGTGGGTCACCCAGCCCTGGCCCTGCAGGTGTGATTGTTCTTTGATGTTGACTGTCTTGTGATTTGGGCAGATGCAATGACCAACCCTTTTTATCTGTCCAGGGGATGGCCCTCTCTACAGGGATGCTCTTATTGCTCGTGATGTGATTCCTCCCTTGCTGGCTCTGGTGTCACCTGCCACTCCAGTAAATAACCTTCATTTTCATGATTTAACAGCTCTTAATCTCTTGGGTGATGGGCGAGTCCACTGTCTGCCTCATACACAACAACCTTTGTATAATTGAATTGAATGAAACCCCACTCCAAACTGCTTTTATGGCCCTGCCTAGGCACAAAGCTGGGGATGCCAAACAGACTCCAAATCAATCCTTTCCATCCTTGGCTTTCTTATCCAGCTCTATCTCAGGCTAGGAATAAGATGAAGCTGGTGCAAGGCAGACTTGCATATGCATGGGGTAGGGCTGAACTTGCCCTTCAAGCTTCCTGCTGCTGCTTTGTGGTTTGTCTCTGTCCTTCTGCAATGGTTCCTGCCCCACTGTTCTGTTTCTGGTGTGTAAGAACCTTCACAGGATAGCACAGACTGAGAGGCTCTTGGGGATGGTGAGACTCTTACATCTGCCTTGTGTTTCAGGTTGGGTTCCTGAGGAACATCACCTGGACACTGTCAAACCTGTGCAGGAACAAGAACCCCTGCCCTCCTTTGGATGCTGTGAAGAAGATTCTGCCAGTCCTCACCTTCCTCCTGCAGCATGAGGACAAGGATGTCATCTCTGACTCCTGCTGGGCTGTTTCCTACCTGACTGATAGCTGCAATGATCGCATCCAAGTTGTGGTGGAGACGGGGATTCTCCCAAGGCTTGTGGAACTCATGGACAGCCCAGATTTGATTGTTATGGTAGGGAACAATCAGCAATCTCCACCCTCTGGTCCCTTAATGTAGAAAGGACCGAGGAGAGGGAAGGCGAGTGCTCTTGTTCTGTGTGGCAGTTGTGGTGTGCTGTCCCCTCAGCCTGCAGAATTGACTGCCTGCTTGTCAAGCCACTGCTCTGCTGGCTGAGGCTGGATAGAGACACTAAAGCTGCTTAGAGCAAATGAGGGACGACGGAGCCGTTTATAAACAGCCATCACCCACAATGCTCTCCTTGTGCAAAGGATCAAGCACTTAGGGAGGGATCTTGCTGGGCTTTGACATGTATCCCTCGAGGTAAGGACTCTCCTCATCTCCTCTAATCTCTGTCTAGTCTCCAGCTCTCCGTGCCATCGGGAATGTGGTGACGGGCACAGACCAGCAGACTCAGGAAGCCATCGATGCCGGTGTCCTGACTGTCCTGCCCCGGCTGTTGAGGCATGGCAAGCCAGTGATCCAGAAGGAAGCAGCATGGACCCTCAGCAACATTGCAGCAGGGCCTTCCCAGCAGATCCAACAGATCATCACCAGTGGGTTATTGCCACCTCTGGTGGAGCTGCTCAGCACGGTAAGTGCTGCTGCGGGAGGAGCATGGGGTTCAGGAGGCCTGGGATGGTTCATTTGTGAAGCACTTGGCCTCAGAGCCACCTGTTTCAGAGCTGTTGAGATCCTTGGGGGTAGCCTGAGCATCCTGATTTGTTGGTACACCTGTATGGAAACATCCTGGAGCTGTTCTTGGCAGCTCTGCCAGGTGTCCGTGCATCACCCAAAGGGCTGGGAAAGCTGCATATAAGGGAAATGGTTATCCTTGCCTCACCCTCATCCTAGAGGGATACTAAAGCTTGGGAATGCCTTTGCTGTGCTGCTTTTCTAGGGTGACTTCAAGGCTCAGAAGGAGGCTGTGTGGGTAGTGGCCAACTTCACAACTGGAGCAACAGTGGATCAGGTGGTGGAGCTTGTCCGTTCTGGCGTCCTCAAACCTCTGCTCAACCTGCTCTTGGCTAAAGACAGCAAAACCATCCTGCTCATCCTGGACACCATTTCAAATCTCTTTCTGGTAAGATCTGCTCATCCTGGATGGCATTTTTGAATCCAAAGAGCAGCAAGGAGTGAGCCTAATGCTCTCACTGTGTGGTTAGAACAATGACTCTTGATTTTTGGAGTAAAACTTAGACAAAATGAAGTTTCTCTCTTTCTTGGATACCTTTGGGCTGTCCAGAGAGCTTGATAAGATTAAGTTCCCAAAGTGTTGCTCTTCATCCCCTGCTCACTGGTCTGGCTGGCAGCCCCCAGCAGAGACTGGTATTCCACAGTCACATCCCAGGCATCAGGAAGGGACCATAAATTCAGGGACTGTGATCCTTTGACTTGTAGATCAGAGTTGTAATTACAGTAAAGACCATCTCAGACCTGTTACTGATGTTCTGTTTTCCTGCCTGGCTTTCCAATGTTACAGGCAGCTGAGAAGTTGGGAGAGACAGAGAAGTTGTGTCTGTTGGTGGAAGAACTTGATGGTCTGGAGAAAATTGAGGAACTGCAAAACCATGAGAATGACATGGTCTACAGAGCTGCCCTGAACATCATTGATAAATACTTTTCTGGTGAGGTATGCGAGCTCTTGCTGTTTCTCAGCTGAAAATGTGAAGCTATTACCACTGGAATGAAACACAGAGTTTAAGGATACTGGAAGAGGTTTTTGGAGGACACCTCCACATGACCAGAACAGTCCTTGCAGCTTCTTTCAGCTGCTTTTAAAGGCCTGTAAAAGCACTAAGTTGTCAGCCAATGAGTTGCTTAACAGACATGGATGCCTTGATAGCATCTTGCTGCTGGAATTTAAACTGGCATCAGCTGGAGTTACTGCAGTTACTGATATGAATACCAAATGTGGAGAAGTTTCCTCCTTCAGAGCTGAGCTGGCTTGTCACTATGAATGGCAGCCTCCTACTCAGCTGATAACAGTGCTCAGGTTGCATTTGGATTACTTGACCCTTCTCATGGTAAGGAATCTATGGAAAAAGAAGATGGGACAGCAGCCAGGAGCTGCAAGGGTCCAATGACTGTCATAGATGCCATGTTTGGTCCTAGCCTTAGACTTGCAGATGGGAAAGCATCAGAAAAGAGGCTTAGAGGTCTGGCAGACCTTGGAACCGTGGTGCAGTTTGGGTGTGAGCTGCAGCAGGGCACAAAGGTCTGGTTTAGTCCTTTGCCAGAGCAGGGTCTGTGGGGTGTCCTTGTGAGAGGGTGTGGAGGAAGTTCTCCACACCAGCTCCTATTGGAGGGGCTGGATGCCAGGGGAACATCTCCCTGAGCAGTTCTGGCTTGTTTTTCTTCCAAGCAGGACATTTAATTTGAGTGATTTCTACCACTGCAGACTTTTTTTTTTTCCTTTTGCTTCTGTTGTGAGCCCAAAGACTTGGCTACTTTTGTGTGTGGGCTGCAGGGACACTGCAGCTTCAGGGAGCTGCAAGGAGCAGGAAGGCTTGGCCTGGTCTCCAGGGGTTCTGTCAGAGCTAGGATTAACAGCTGGATTTCTTTTAAAAACACGAATAAAACAGATTTGCTGTAAAAAGCTTAGGTTTATCTAAATGCAGGCCCTATAAGTGATTGCTATCACTTTCCTCCTAGGAGAATACAGACCTGGAGCCCCAGACTGGCCAAGATGGGATGTATGATTTCTCAGTGGAGAAGCAAGACTTCAACTTCTGAAGATGAAGCATGGCACAGGTGGTGGGTGGAGGTACCTTGGAAGAGCTCAGATATCTAAACCATGCTGAGCCTTTTTACTTCTGGAACTTGTCAATAAATTGCACTTTTGGCTTTGTACCTCTCGCCTCTAATTATTTTCCCCTTCAAGCTGCTGTTGCAAATGACATGGCTTGTTTTTTTCCAATAACGTCTTAAGGCCTTGCAGGAGTGTGTTGGAGCCCCTGGACATGTTTTCCAGGTGGAATATTTCTTCTAAGTACATGAAACTGCAAGAGAGCAGCATCCTGCCACCAAATCCTTATGCTGAAACATATAGGCTTGACTTGGAGTAGCTGAAGTAGCTTTGAAAAACTGTTTGAGAAGTGTTTGACACTTCTGCAGGCACCATCACAGCTGTGGGAAAGGAGGTGCTTGCAGCAGGGAAGGAGCAGAGCTTGGGGGCAGGTGGGTCAGGGTCTCCTTCCTGTGTGTTACTTCACCTGGAAGCACTGGAGTGTGGATGTGGGAGCTGCTGGGTAAATGCTGGTCCTTTGGAAGGAAAGTTGGAGGCAGTGCAGGAGCAATGATTCACCTCTGCTGCAGCTTCCCTGTTGCCATCCATCAGCCTGGAGCCCATCGATCTGGCTCTGCCCTTTAATTCCAAGGACCTGTATTTCAGGTTTCCATGGTATGGCCCTGGCTCTTGTTCTCCTTCTCTCCAAACCCGCCATGTGTGGTCTCCAGCAGAAGGATGAGGATGGAGTTGAGCCCATGACACAAAGATTCTGTGCTGTGTTTTCTCAACAAGCTGCTGGACACTGCTCCATCCTTGCAGTGTTGATGGTTCCAAATCCTTTGTTCCCCAGGGCTTGAAGCATCTCAAAGGCTTTGCTTAAGGACAGAATGAGGGAGCAGCTTTCCCTCCCTGCTGTGGGGGGGTTTGGCTTTTCAAAATGACCCTATGTGGGCTCAGGGCTCTACTTCCTCAGGTGTAGTTGGAGGCAGGCATGGATATGACAGGCAGCTTAATCTGGAGGGAAAATCTTTTCAGGAAATAGACTCTTCTTCTGCCCTGGATCTGTTCATCAGAGGATTTATGCATTTCTCCTGCAGGCCACCCAGGGAACAGGGAGTTGGTAGTAAATGTGTTCTCTGGGAGGAGCTGCGCAGCCCCAGCTATGGGTAGCAGGGTTGAGTATCACTTCATAGTCAAATACTGGGATCTGATGAAAATGTAAAGTGCTTCTTACATCCAGAACTGTGGACTTAAAAACATGATACAGCAATGCTTGGACATGCACCTAAAGCAGGGCTGGTGCTGCCAGGGCTGCTGGGGCACCTGGCACTGGTCACAGTTCCCTGAGTAAAGTGAATATGAGGAAGGTGTTTTCTCTGTGCCAACAGACACACAGAGCTGGGGCCTGTGTGGCTGCCCTGACTTTGGATTGTGGTCCTGTGTGGACCATCCCACTTGGCTTTTCCCATGGCCAGGCAGGGCTATACCTTACAGCTGCTCTTTGCTGATGCTCTAACTAAAAAAAAAAAAAAAGGCAGGATAGAAAGAGAAATGGGAAATCTCTTGGATTCTTCTTCCTGCATGTGCTGGACATGAACCTGTGTGTGGTGGTGTTACACAGAGCCAGGGGCCCAGAGCTGCTCCTTTCCATCCTTGTGTCTGTAACCTAGAATAAAATATTGTCCTGAAGGTAGGGGACAGGACATCATGCCCCTCTTAAAAAGAGTGTTGGGATGTGCCTGCTGTCTCCCTTGGCAGCTGGAGAGCTGGACCCAGTGCCTGAAGGATCATCAAGGCTGCTGTGTGGGTGTGTGAGCGACCTGCAGGCAGCTGCTTGCCCCTGCCAGCCCCAGCTCTCCTGCCCCAGGCACAGGCAGCAGCCACCAGGGCAATTTTAGCTCTGTGGCAGTGGAGGCATCCCCTTCTCTCAGTGGGTTGGGATGGGGTACCAGAGGCAGCAGAGAGCCCCTATTCAGCTCCATGCCGACCCCAGGCACCACCCTGTTACCCTCATGCTACCCTGCATCTCACCCCTGAGATCACCTATTCACCCCCAGGCACCCCTGTTTGCCCCTTTTCATCTCAAGCCAGCCATAGGAACCCCTATTCCCCCCCATTCCACCTCTATTCCTCCCTCTGCCACTCCCCAGGCATCTCCATTCCCCCTTATTTCCCAAATCCCACTCCTATTCTGCTCTATTCCCCACTATTTACTCCTATTTCCTCACTGCCCCATCGCACCCCAGTTCCCCCTCTATTCCCCCATTCCCATATCCCACCCCAATTCCCCCGCTATTCCCCAGTTCCCCCTCTGTTCCCCAATTCC